TACCATTTCTGATGAAGTAAACAAGAATTATGTACATTTTGTAACTAAACAAATTACACAAGGAAAATGCTTGACCCAGATTCACCTACTTGTGCTCCAAACAGGAATTGGCTGGGCAAGACTCAAATTCTGACCCTGCTCAGTAAAAGAGCGCAATACATGTTGTGGTATTATCCTTATGACACGTTATCTGTTTAATGCTTTTTACAAAGCTTCCCTAGAGCTCCTAAGAATAAAATAATTGATATGTAAACTTTTCTCATAGGTTCTTATGTTTATATTCAAGATCTACCCATATCATTCACTAGTTAACAATATATATACACATGTAGATCCATTTATGCAAGGATGGAACATGACTGAGGGCAGTACCAGTATCTTGAAGTATTTTATTGTGCCTAGAAGGATTTTTGAGATTTGTGCACAAGTATTAATCCAGGCTGAATCTTGACCTGAATGTAGCAAGTTAGTATACTACACACACAATTTCCCAGAATGTAATCTGATTGTTTTTAATTGTATAGATTTGTGCATGAAGCATGAGAAGTGGGAAGAAGAGTCTCACTAGACTATTTTGTAAATGTAAGTGCAGTGTTATCAGCAGTATTTTTTTTATAACATGTATGGCCATGCATACTGTAGTTGATATTGCCTTTATATGAAGTACTATTACGATAGGGTGCAAAGACAATGTAGCTTGCATTAAGCCAGCTACCAGGGTTAAAACACAAAGAACTCTTCAGCAGAGATGGTCTTTAAGTAACTGGAAACTTCATGGGATATTTTAAATAGTCACTATAGATAGGATGAAATGCTAGTTAGAAAGAGTCCATAGCATAGGTCCCTCTTTATGGTTTAAAAGTCAATTTTAACAAATATAATGCAGTAGGGGAAATAGTTTAATCTGCATTTTTAACTGGAGCTTTAACGTTGACTCTCCAGTACTTTTCTGGACTTAAGTCAGACCTGCCTGTTTACATGGAGTTTATATTTTGTGTGATCTTCTAAATAACCAGTAAGGAAACATCTTCTGAGGTCAGCTAGGTGTGATACAATTGGTGGGCTCACAAATTGTATACAACGTTCTCCATTCTGCTAAACTGAGTCCCCTCCAGCCTCTGTAATTGTGATATCACCCTACAATAATCACATGAGAGTCTGCGGACATCAAATAAGCCAAAGCAAGTATGGCATGTATTCTATTATTGTTTTCCATACATCAGTATCAGAAAATGACACCAGTTCTACAGGAGACAAGGAAAACTGCTCCTAGAAATATTGCGACAATTTTAGTATATCTGTTGTAAATACCTTTGCTAATACAATTTTTTAAAATTCCAAGATACTGGAAGCACGGCAGAATAACACTTGTAGTAGAGACTAGGGTTTCTGCTACCTATTATAACCACTTACTGAAAAAACAATTTATTTTCCAGATGTACTTTCTCTTTCCCTGAATCACTCTTAATCAATGTGTACATGGCCCTAGTCTTTGTCATCTCAGCTCTGAGACACTACAAGAGGAAATTGTTAAATCTTTCATCTTTTAAACAGGTCTAAAATTGTTTTCATAAAGTTATGTACCAAGAAATCCCTTTGCCTTTAGCAGAATGGAGGTGAACCTGGATCAGCAAATCCTATGTGGAAATGGGAAGTAGGTTGCAAATGCTCTCTCCTGCCCCACAGTGAGCTGTCCTAAATGCCCTGGAGGATCTGCACTACAGAATTAGTTGGAGGAAAAGCTACCATAGAACAAGGAAGCTGGTAGCACTCCACCAGATTCACCCTCCTTTTTTAGAAATGCCTCCTATAGGCATCAATTAATCCAGGGGTGGCCAATCTGTGGCACAAGAGCTACAAGTGGCAGGTGGCCTGTGTGTGTGTGTGAGATGTGGCACACTGGGGAGAGGATAGGCTGCGGCATTGCAAATAGGGAGGGGAACAGAAAGCATAGTGCAGGGAACAGAAAGCTGAGCAGGATATCAGAGAAAAGAATCAAAGTGGTACTCAGGGAACATGCAGGGCTAATTTGTGCCATGCCTGCCAAAGAGGTTGGCCTCCACTGAATTAATCAGTATCAGTTAGCATTGATTGGGTCAACAGCATTAGCTCATATATCCTGCCCCCTTTCTCTCTATAGGTTCTGGCAGCAGAGTTTCTCTTGTAGTCTGATTCTTTCAGAGCTGTGCTCTCAAGGACCACACTGTAGACGATAGAAGGCCTCTGCATGGCTCCTTCTGTGCAAGAATTGGCAGGGCAGCTTGCAAGTACACTCATATTTCTAGCTCCCTCTATAAATTATTTCCATGTGACTAACTGGTGGAATTTACACCAATGTGACTGGGTACTTCAATCCATGTCTCTTTAAATGGAAGCCTTTCTATTGACTCCAGTGAATTGTGGAGCAGGCTATAGGCACTAATCATGTGACATTGGATCAAAGGATAGGAGTCCCAATAAGCACAAGCTGTACTCAAACACTGCCAACAGGTTGCAGAGATGTTGCTAATGAAACTTCTTGCAGCAATATTTTGCCCCCACACCAAACCTAGCTACCTATAACCAGATTTGAAAGCAAGGATATAGCATAGGCCTGGTTGTCTCAGCAAAACCGTGCTTGGCAACTGTGTTTTTAATATAGGCAAAGTTTACTTGTGCTATTTCAGGATGGGCAGGTCTGAAAAGTGCTCAGGTTACAGATTACCCTTGATTTGTATAGACATTTAGCAAAACAAAACTGCAGCAGCTGGCTGTTTTTATGACAATCCAAAGTGCTTGGAATGCAAATAAAGGCTTATTTCTGATTTTGAATTGTTTTTCTTTCAGGTATCACCTGTGAATAATTGCATACCTCAGTATGTGGAAATGAGCTTTACAGGGCTTGAGTCCCAGTGCTAATTCAAATCTTTTTCCTCTGGTGTTCTTGCATTCAGGCTCCCTCATCAGAGGTCCAACGCTTCCTCATTAGAGACCAGCTGAAAAGACCACTGAACCAGCCCTTTTTGTTGTATAGTGATACTTTCTTTAAGAAGAGAGGTATTAATCTACAAAAAATAAATATATTAGAACTTGTTCTAATTTCAAAGGCAGTTTGTAGTTTAGGCAAGAATTTGGTTATGTTTATATTTTCTGCAAACCAGTGCATTTCTTTGTCATGTCAACTGCCATGCCACAATGTGGCTTTATGGCTAAGTTGCATCCTAATAAGTAATTGATTAGAAGAGGTGGTCATATACCTGGGTCAGATTGCAATAAATGCCACTGGCCACTCACTGCCACTAATATTGCATTCATGTTTTGTTCAGAAACTTTAAACTATGTACTAACAGTTTGGTGGCTGAACTCATCCCATCAAGTCCCATCTTTATCCTTTTATTTTTAAGCTAGGTAAATATGCACTGTCATTTAAAAAAATGTGGGTCAGGTTTACCAACCTTAAGCCAGACTGAATGCTTATTATGATCAGCCACTCATGAACTGCATCTCTAGTTTAGCAAAGTTCAACAACTGGACTATTTACTGGTATATCTTCACATAAAATGCAGCTATAGGTGCCTTGCTTGTTCTCTCAGTACTTATCTATTAAAGTCAGTGAAAGGTTGCCTGCAGACCTATCCATCTCAGTCTACCCTTCTCTGTAAAAGCCTTTAGAAAGAGAAGGGGGGCATTACAGCATGCCTGACAAGTTAACAAATATGGTTTTGGCACATGACAGGAAATGTGCAAGCTCCAATACAAGGGACCCCTCACAGAGAAGGCCCTGCTAGCAGTAGGATTAAGGTATAACAGTAAAACATCTCCTAGCCATTATTCCATACACTGTAACCATTTCAGTGTTCATTATGGCTTCCATTAGCTTATTTATAAGAGAACAATAAAGCAACTAATGTGTATGCATGTGTGTTTAATATAAATGATAAGCTGCAGAAATACAATTTACTAAACTCTGTGGAGAAATTATTGGCACTGATTTCTTGGGAAAATCATAGCACTGGAATTTAAAAAAATCTTTTTGGTAACTTATTTGAAAGTTTTCCACTCATCATAAATATTTATTGATCACTCTGACTATGGCATAATTAAGTATACAAAGGCTTGGCAGTTATAGCAGAGCATATCCTTGTAGAAATGCAAACAGTATGCTAAATCAAGGGAATTCCAATCTTAAAAATACTTTATTGGCTCATGAATAACTTGAGTGTATTGGATATAAATATACATGGCACTGTTTCCAAGAACAGGTATGCGATCAGATTATATTATTGAATTTATGTCCCTTTTGCTTTGCTATTTAGTAACATTACTAAAAACCTTACTTCAGTTTTAACCACTATTTTATAGTTAAATATAATCAGATAAATTCATGGATGTTAGTGTTGCTAAGATTAAATGAAAATAAATCTTTCTGAAAAGACACTTTCAGGTTTGTGGAAAATGATATTTGACTCTCATAATGCCAACTGTCCAGCTATGAAACAGGTGGCTTTCTACCCTGCAAATGAGATTTTATTGCTAAAATAAAGTAAAAATTGTTTTAAAGCAAAGAACACACATCTTTATAGTAAAACTCCAGTTTGTTTTACATTTAGAGAAAAGTCACAAGGTTTCCCCCCAAAACCCCTGTTATATATATATATATATATACACACACACACACACACACACACACCTTATATATATATATATATATATATATATTTGAAAATATATTTAACAACATAAAAAAATCTATAGTTAAACATATATTATATGCTAATTATATTACCACTTAAATATAGCTTAAATATAGCTTAATTATATTTACAATATGACGCAGATGATTTTAAGGTTTAATGCCAATTTCAGTTTTTCCCAAAAACATAAAATTATATAAATATACAATAAATATGTTACACATAGTGAATATAGAGAACAAGGCCACAGACATTGACTTACATTTGCAAGAGAGTCTTTACTTTTAACAAAGCACTAGACCTGCTGACATGCATGAAATACCTTTGTCACAGCAGCAAGACTTCAATTAAGTGACTTTTTTTTTTAAAACCTCATTTCGACTAAAACTGCCAAGCCTGTGATCATGTATGTGCTAGGTCTGGCATGCAACAGCCATGGGACTGTAGTCTAATTGCCTATTTCATTTTGCAGAAATTATAAATACCAATATTTTAGGGAATATTGTGTCACACTATATACCTGTAGAGTTTAGAATAGTTTCCTTTTGTCCCCACCTGAAATAGAAACCCTAATTAAAAAAAATATGTTTAACTAGTTTTTAAAACATTTTAGGCCACACTTTGAAACTAGTTCGAGTGCTCAGCAACTCCATGAGTAGCTCCATTAATTTCACCTAGTAAGTATGAAAGTGGCAGGATCTAGACATAGATCAATCTAGTTGTTAAGGCTCTACAAACATTTAATGACACTTCTGGCTTAAACCAGCCTGGGAGTTTTGCTCGAGTGAAAACCTGCCTGCAGGTAACTCTGGCTGATCACTAATCTTATATTCTTTCAAGCATGAATTATGCTTTATGCTTTTTTCAAATTAGATTCCTATCATTTGTCTTTCTGGTGCCAAGGTAGATAAATAATCTACTTCCTATACACTGGTTAATTTAACCCCTTCCCATTTTCTAGGCATTTGTCTTTCTAATTTTTATGGTTTGGAAAAAAGTGATGAGGCAGTAAGCCACCTAAAATGCAACTGAAATTGAATCAGTTGCTCACTGTGGATGAAATCCTGACTCTAGTAAAGGTCAATATAAAGGCTGGTGGTGGGTCAGCTGGTTTTGATTAAATAAAATCCTCCCTCCCACCCCCATCATCCTTCAGTATGTAAATTCAAAAAGTTGATCTTTTCTATTTGGGTGGGACCTTTTCCATTTCTAGTTTCCATTTAGGAGTAGGAGTACCTGAACTCTCCCAATAAGGCCTAAAATCTGAGGTCCAGGAAGTTCAGATGAAGTTGCGTGTGTGTGTGTTTTCTTATGATAGTGAAAGCCCATAGCAGTTGCTAGGATGGAAAAGGTAGATGGAGAATGAAGTTATCAGTGTGCAGAGGGGGTCAACTCTGGTAGTCACTTCTGCTAATGAAGGAACAGATCCAAAGTTCATTTACTTTTAAGGAGCACTTATTAAATATCTTTGGCTGATAGGAGTGATGGTATAGGTTTATGGGATTGAATCTACTTGTGTACCAATTAATGAGTTAGGCTAAGTATGGAACATATAATCCATGAATACCTTTCAAAGTTCCTGACACAATCCCAATCTCAAATGACTTTGATCAGAAATGCAAAAGAGTACACAAGTTTTGCCAATATGAAATTCTGGATAGAATGTTGCAAAATGTGTGTGTCTTGGCTTTGGTCATTTCTCTCTCTCAATTTCACCTACATGAGTTACAGCTACAGATAAAACACCTTTCTTCAGTGAACCCATTTATGCTAGTTAATCAGGTTGCTAAATTGAATTTCCCACCTTCCAGAAATCAGTGAATACAGCAAAGAAATGCAACTTTATTATACTTTGCCCATAAATACATTTCTTATCCTGTCTTGTTCTGGGAGCTCAACTTTTGAGCTTCTAACTCAAAAATACTGATGTCATACTAATTATTAGTAGGAGACTGCTGCAATTGGCTATTTGTATCTAAGTGCATTTTGTATTAGTTATCCCAGAAGTAATTTTCACTCCTGCTTTTCCTATTTTTTTCAAACCATTATATTTTCCCACTTTCATATTTGTTTACTAGATTAAAGTTGACATATACTGCCTATTAGAACTGGAACCTCTTGAGAATATCTTAGGCGTGTTAGATATTTCAAACTAGTGCAAGGCCTTTTCTGCCTCATTCCAAAGCCAATCCTCAGGAGTCCTTCTGGCCTGGATTCTAAACTTCTCTACTACTATATCTCCCAGTAACTCATGGGCCAAAGCATATTAGACATTTTCATGGTCACCAGTGGAGCAATAGGTTGTACTACATATATTAATATACAGGGCAAAGCTGCTGCTCTTCCACTGAACCCATGGAACCCAATTCAGTGCTGATTTATACTCAAGCAGCCCCACTCAAGCCAAGGCTTTGTAACTCACTACTGAACTGGGCCCATATTATCTCGTCTTGTGGCTTCCCAGCTTTTAGGGTCACTTGACTCTTTCCAAACTGTTTTATAATGAAATTTCATTTTGCTTCAACAAAACATTTGATCCAAGCACAAAAAGTCTTTTATTACATCAAGTCATTGCTCTCAACACTCTTGATATTTTCAATATGACAAGCTCCAGTTGTACGGTGAGAAGTGAAATATTTAGAGATTGCAATCAATTTCCTTCCAAAGAGAGGAAGGGAGAAAAAAAAACTTCAAACACAAACAAACAATATGTAAGCAAATGCAGGTCTTTCAAAAGAAAGCCATTTAAAAAAAGAAAAAAGGAGGCAGACAGTTACATAAGTGCTGTCTTTAAGCCTGAAGTTCAGTAGCATGAAGTGGAACATCAGTATTCTTTTTCAGTTGCCTTTTTTTAAATTTTTTTTGTCAGTAGTCTGATTTGATATTGCAAACACCTTCACAACATACAAAAAAATATTTTATCCAGAACATATGGTAATGATATTTTTCTGGCTTTTTTTCCAACTATGTGGGAATTTAAAAGTAAAAAAAAAAAAAAAAAAACACAACAAAAAACAGTAAAACTATGACAACAGCACCTTGACATTGTTTTAATTCCAACGCTATCAGAAGTTAAAGCAGTAAACAGATATAATACTAACAAGAATAAAGATACTTACTGTCTAAAATGTAAACGGAATGTTTTGGTTCAATTTTTTTTCTGAAAGAGGACAGTTTATCATCAATTCACAATTGAAGCAGCATGCAATTTTATTAATTTTTTTTAATTTTTCTGTTTTCAATTCTTGGCAACGGCAACAAACCACAATGTTATCGAGGAATGTAATGCAGACTTTTTTTTTTTTTTTTTTTTTCTCTTTTTTTTTTAAAGTTGTGCGCAAATGACTTTTGTTCCCCTTCAGGTCATGGATATGTTCAATAAATAGACTGTGGAACCACTGTACTGTATAAACTTCAGTTATACATGCAGTCCATAAAATTATTTTTACTGAATAATTTACCCTGTTATGTATATATACAAATAGATAATTCTGTCTCAATATAATCTATGCAACATGAATCCACTATCTTCCCCTTTTAATGGTCAAAGTACATACACAGGAAGTGTCTATTCTTATAAACCGCCAGCCAACTCTCTTTTTATTATCCATGGTGAGCGCTCGCACATACGACTGGGTAGTTCGGCACTGGGAATTCCAGTGCCTCTTGTCTATGCCCCTGCACCCCTCTTTTGTGTAACCCTTGGGGTTGCATTTGGTCTCGTAGAAGTATTGCTTCAGTTGGCCTTTGGGTACTGGGACTTTTTCCAAGACTGTAACTGTTGCACCAGACATGTCCACTGCAGTCTTTTTTTCTGCTGCTGTTACCCACTCACTAGTACTGTCGCACACACTTAGTTCCCCACGACGAGCTGGGTCAGAGTGGCGCCGGACCCTCATAGACATATTTGCAGCATCCAAGTAATTTTTGTACTCCTCAAGCAGAAAGAGCAATGGGGGTTCCAAAGGCACTTGACTGCTTAGCATAACCCGAGATGTATACAAGTCTGCATCCTTGTTTTCTTCACTGGGCTGGATGTCCTGATCCTCATCTAGAAGCTCCTCTATGACATGTTCAAAAGTGTCTGCCAGTGATGTCAGTCCCCTTGAGCCAGCATTGGACCCACTTAGGCTCTCCAGAGTCCCGTGGGTCCGAAGACCTGGGTAAGCCAAGCTGCCTTGTCCTCTGACACTTGCTTCTTTCATTGGGGCAGCTTTCATGCAACTGAAGTATGAAATAACCATAGTAAGGAAAAGGATGGTCATCACTCTTCTCACTTGGTGAAACTGTTAGGAACAGGACAAAAAAACAAAACAAAGAGGTTTAAAATGTCATAGGGGCCAAAAACTAATAACAACATGTAATTGTAAGAAGACAAAGATTTATTAATACTTCAGCTAGGGTAATCTGTTGCACATAGGTACAGATTAATGTTAACAGCGCTTTGCAATTTGTTTTATGCAACACAGGTGCTCATATGTTTATCCTGTGCTTTAGTGCTCCAACTAAACAGAAAACAATGACTAGGACACCTGGCTAGTAGGAAGTCAAAAACTCATTCCAAAGGCCCAACGTCCCTCCACAGCAAGTGCCACACCTCAGGTTATATATAGGCTTAATACTTAATGATCTTGCGTTTGTGCTGTCAGTGCAACAACAATAATTAGAAATGCTACTGTGCAACAGCACTTTAACTAATAATCTATAGTTTCAGAAATATGTGGTCTGTTATGAAGTGCCTGACTATTTTAATGATGACATACTTAGAAGTCTACAGTACAACTAGATTCTCTGAACTACTGAAACAATACTGTAACAACACTGAGAACAGGAAACTTGAAGGGATTGTAGTCCCTGTCCCTACGATCGTGAACTGTATCAACTAATGACTGTTCTAAATACAAGTTGTACTGACAGATCCCTCTCCAGCATCTGTTTTCGTACATGGTTATGGCTCACGTGGATCAAGCAAGATTTCCTTTTTGAGTGCAGACCCACATATTTTATTCTGTGGATCAACGTAGACCATTTCATAACCCCATCTGCCAGAGGTTGGTTGCCCTTCATACATGTTAGTGCAACTATGAGAAGCTGCAACTAGATTTTGAAAATGACTTCCATCCACAGAAAAAAGCCACAATTATCAGGTCTCAGTAGGCCAATTCCTTGCCTAAAAAAAGTACAAAGAATATACAACTAGGCAAAAGTACTGGAAAAATGAACATGGAAGTGTAGCAAACACATTAAAATGCTGTGTAAGTAAATAACTAGCTTGCATTATGTGAATACTAAGGAAAAGGCATATTAGATTACAAGAAGTGATAAGGGGAGATTGAAATGGCAATAATAGAACCACTGCATTGTCATTTCCAAGAGCCAAATCATATCAGTCCTTATTTAGGCAAAACACCTGTTAAATTCAACACTGAAGTCAACTGAAGTTTTGCCTGAGACAGGATTTGACTCCAGTGCCTGATCACAGAAACTGGCATGAACTCCAAAGGCCGGATCAACCGCTGGGGCTGCTTCCACCGAGGCAACTGTTCCATCACATTTAAGTATTATGACTGTTTGGCCTGTTCATGTTTGGTTTGCTTTTCTCAGTCTAACTCAGCCCAGAGTTGGGAGCATCACCTGGACAAGGTGAGACAACTGCTCACTCGACCATTCCCCTGTCAAATATGGCAGGATGAGACACCAGGGATAAATGAAGGGACAGGTTGTTTATTTTAAAAAGCCCTCACAAGCATACAAGCTAACAAAATGTGTTCCTATCAGCACTTCAGGCAGCTTGTTGATATGTCTGTCCCCTTCCCACAGCCTTAGTTTAGCCTTTTTGAATGAAAAAAATTTCAAGGCAGGAACCATTTCTTCCTGTGTCTATGTTGTATACATTTTTAGGTGTTACTATAATAAGCCCTACAATTCCTGAGTGCCTGCTGTGCCAGAGAGACCTGTTTTTCTGACTTATCTGTACTGCTACAACATCGTCCAAGTCCAACTATTATTTTTCCCCTTCCGTTCCCAGCTCTCACCAGCTCTGTGCTTGCTAGAAAGCAACAGCATTGTTCACATTCTTGAAGTAGCAGCTCATGGTCGTTTCAGTGCTTTTGAAGTTCATTCGGAAGTACCTCATACTTGGCAATGCACATTGGAGTAAATGCTATTTCTGCTTGCCAACAGGGTGCTATCTGAGTCTTACTTCATCTCCTACAAATATTATGTGGGAAACCAGAACTCCAAAATTCTTAAGGGGGAGAGGTAGGGGGAGCCACAAAAACAAAGAGGCTACACAAACTGAGGGCACTGCCAAGGTCTTAGGTCCCAAAACTCATTTACTGAAAGGTTATTTCCTAGATAGGAATCTAGTTGAGCACTCCCACCCCTCAGCTCAACATATCCCCCCTCTCCCAGTCATTTTTCCTGTTTGAAAAAGTGTTGTTGCAACAGTGATATATCAAAGTTAAACAATCCTGATGTGTGTGACTCACAGGAACATAGTATTTGCTGTAAATATGCAGAACGTTAATAAGATTTTGCAGATAGATGATGTTTTCCATCCTTGGTTCTCAAAGTGTTTTGGAAAGACAGATAAGCTTATTAATATAAAACATACTTGCTGAGAAATGAACTGGTGCACTGATACTATGTTTACATTGAGGAACTGAGACATTGAAAAAAGTATCAGTGGATATTTTTAAAAAAATCCTGCCTTTGTGACTTGCCCAAGGTCACATAAGTCAACAGGAGAACTAGGAATTGAATGCAAATCTCATGGCTCCAATTCAAGTGCTTGGTATCACCATTAATGATAATTTGTATTACTGTAGTACCCAGAGGTCCCAGTCAGTATCACTGTTTAATTATATCGGGTGCTGTCCAAGCATGAAATAGAAGTTGGTTTCCTACTCTGTGGTTTTTATAGTACTGTAGAGGCAAAGCAAAGAAGTGTGCAAAAGGAAGGGACGAGGCTGAGTGCATCGTGAAAACAAGGTTGCACATGTTAGCTAAGGGTACAGTTGGGATGTACCAAAGTTTGCTTTAAAACTAGACAAGTGAACAAATGATATAATGAATCCCTAACAGACCACCTATTTAGCTGTTCTTTTTAGGCACTTACTGTAGACCAGTGGTTCTCAAACTTTTTTTTCGCAGACCGCTTGAAAATTGCTGAGGGTCTCAGCGGACCACTTAAACTTGTTTTTGTTCTACAAAGCAAAGCACACAACTCATTTTAATATCAGTAGTCTTAACTTATAAGTACAGAAATTCTCTATTATTCTGCAACCATTCTGCGGACCACCTGAATGGAACTCGTGGACCAGCAGTGGTCCGCGGACCACAGCTTGAGAACCTCTGCTGTAGACCTCATTGTAGCAATGTGTCTTAAGAAGTGATTTGACATAACAGGGTAATAGTTACGTAAGTTGATTTGGGGAAGGTATTCCACATATGAGAGATTAGTGTGGAAAGGAAGCATTGAAAGTGCATGCGGGAGAAGCAAAGAAACTGTCTCGATTTTCTAGTTTCTAGATATTATCTACCACTTGGCCACTGATCCAGCAAGTTGAGCAGTATTCATTATGTAATGCTTCAAAGTTAACCTCCTCCCTCTATACATTATTGCAAGAAAAAATGACTTTAAGGGTAGCACCCCAAAGGTGCTCCTACATTTCCAGAGGCACATAACGATTGTATATATACAGATTTATTCCTGTAAAAGATAACCAAACCTTGGATTTCTCCCTGCCTATTGTAGCACCTTGGCTCTGCAGCAATCAAAACAGTGAAGCTATATGTGTACAAGTTGTCTAAAAGTAGATTTCACATATAGAAAGCTTTAGGAGAGTGAATTTTGGAAGGTAAAATTTCAAACTCCCCTTTAAATTAACTATGGATGAATTGTCACTGTATTTATAATATCTGGAAAGACACTTCTGTATATCTTGAGGGAGAACATGCAAAGGAAAGACTTTTTACCATGTGTGCATTCTTTGTAACAGCATTTTGGCAAAGAAAATGTGTTCAAATGTGCTAACGTGAAGGGAAACCCTTTAAACACATATAACACGTCTTCATCTTGGGGGAGAGAGAGAGGTTACAGTGGAACCAGTTGCATAAAGTGTGCTAAAATGAGGTCATGATGGAATACAATTGTTAAATCTGAATTCATGGATAAAAACCTTTGACCTGGAATTTTTTTCTTTGCTACTTTGAACATAGCACTGCAACTTGACTGAAGAATGCAAGGTTCTTATCTCCCATAATGAGTCAGTATAAAACACTTGGTATCCAAATGCAAAAAGTTTCAAAGGATCACTGGAGACAACTAACGTTTGCATGTACATTTTCAGTTCCATTTCTCCCCCCTCCCCCCCAACTATTAAACTTTTGTTATACCAATATACTAAAGATTAATATAGCTCCTGCTTGGCCCATTACAATGTATGTCTACTAAACCCAGATATTTAATATAGACTATACGTGCCCTTCTGCTTGCTAATCAGCTACTGGATCACGAGTCAGAGATAGGCAAAAGAAAGGGAGCTGCATTTGTCTATTTTCTCCATTTACTCTATTGGTGGGATTTCTAGACTTCTTTTATCCCTGTATCTCTGTGGTTGGGGGAATATCACCACCCTAAGGGGTGAGGTACTTTCTGTTGCATAAGGGGAACGCTTGAAAGCTTACAAATAACTGTTTATGCCATTCCAAGGCTTTTCACTTAGGCAAACAGTTAAAAGTCTGCTAGGAAGTAATTGCAGGATACCTTTTTCTAGAGAAAGCAGTGGCATCTCTGGTATTCTGTCAACTTCGGGGCCAGAACCTCTAACTGGCTTGATGAAAAGCCAGTGTCCTGGAAGATATAGGCACGTCATTTTTTCCCCCTTCCCAAGCCAGAGCCTTCCTTTGTCTGCATTTCATGTTGGAAAGGGAGTTATTGTCCTGGACGACCAATCTGAACATGATGCCTGATCCTGCTAGGAGGGCTATCACCTCTTTCCATAGCCTGTGCTGGAAATGTTTTGCTGGACTGGAACACGAGGTTGACAAAACATGTTCAGTGCTTTAGAGGCCAAAAAGGAGATGAAGTCTCCAAAGTCTTATGTGTTCTACATACACATACTAAAAGGATCCCTGCTTAAATAGTTGTGATAAAGGACTTGTGCAATTTGAGTCATAGAAATTAAGACTCAGGTCCACCAAATGAATGATTTAGAAGTCCAAAGTGGGCTTTGGAAACATATATGCACCTAAGTCTACGAGTGTGATCCTCAAAGCACAC